TGTATATATATATATATATATATATATATATATATATATATATATATATATATATATATATATATATATATATATATATATATATATATATATATATATATATATATATATATATGTATATATATATATAAAATTTTATACAGTATTTATTATATGTTTTTATAAAAATATTATTAATGTCCTTTAAATATTGTATAAACCATCTTTTTTTTTTTTACCTTTAAAAACCCAAACGGAAAATACTTTTAAAGTCAATTTTCGCAATTCTGTTTGTTTTGTTATGCTAATTTGTCAGTAGAGAACCAACAGACCACTGACTTCATAATTTTTCCGTCTAAAATTATACTAAAATATCCCAATAAATACAATTTGAATTAGATGATATAAGTTATCAGAGAAAGTAAACAAAGTACACTTATTTGAAAAAAAAAAATGTAACTACTGCCATTTGGTTCTCGACTTTTATGAAATGGGCTAAAAAACATGCTTAAGCATCATATTGCTTATAAGATATACTTACTGCAATATTTTTTTTATCCAATATACAGATTTAAGTTTTGCTTTATAATGACTTATAAGTTTTTAAATTTATTTACCAGAATATATATATATATATATATATATATATATATATATATATATATATATATATATATATATATATATATATATATATATATATATATATATATATATATATATATATATATATCTATATACATATATATATATATATATATATATATATATATATATATATATATATATATATATATATATATATATATATATATATATATATATATATATATATATATATATATATATATATATATATATAATTGAAACTCGCACTATAGATCATCTATTAGATGCAAAAAATAAAATAAAAAGGATTACATTTATACAAAAACTTGAAATATTGTTTTAAGAAGATATATTATCAATTTTCCAATTTTTAACTGCTTGCAGAAGTTGTAACAGCAACGCTTTTTAAATCACTGGAAAAACGGCAAAATATTTCGCAAGAAACCCAGTAAACTTCCAGCGAACTTTAAGATCACTGGAAGTTTTTCGTTGGATTTCCAGCGTAGTCTTTTGTTTCCATGGAAATCCAGCGAACTTTGCCGAAAACCCAGTGATCTTAGTAAATTTCCAGTGATCTTTTAATTTCCAGCAAACTTTCGCAGGAAGTTCGCTGGCTTTTTTTGTAAGGGAACAGAAACAATTCATACTGTTCATTGATTAATTTGTTATTAATTTCCTTAACACAATCGACGTTGTCAATATACTTTGAAAATACAGGGTTACTCATTCTTATATGCGCGTCTATTCATTTTTATATGCGCCTTTATTCATTCTTATATGCGCCTTTATTCATTCTTATATGCGTATTTATTCATTCTTTTATGCGCGTTTATATATGCGTCAACCACTTATAAAATCTCTTATATAATTTAATATAAACAATAAAAAAGCTTTTAAGTTTTTATATAGATAAATTTAAAATATAAATTAGGTTGTTTTCATTGTTATTTATTTAAGAAATGGTTGCCGAGCCAGCGCTAGATTTATATAACTACGCATATGGTTGTAAAATGGAAATATATTAAACTCTGTAGTATCCATAATATTTTTAAGTTTCCTGATTACCTCATCCGTATTTCAAGGCCTGTCTCCCTGTTTGTACCCAGCCGGCAAATAGCGTTGAAATAACGTTGAAACCTAACGTTGAATTAACGTTGGTTTAACGTTTAGAATGAAAGTTTTTTTTAACGTTGATTTATCAACGTTAAATTAACGTTAGATTCAAACGTTATATCAACGTTAATTCGACGCGAAAAAACGTTACAACAACGTTGAATTTACGTTGATACAACGTTTAAAATGATAGTTTTTTTAACGTTGATTTATCAACGTTAAACGACTGTAAAACACTTTTTCACCATCAAAACGTGCTATGTATGTCAAAATGTATATATGTATGTAAACGTGCTATGTGCGTCAAAATATGATCACCATCAAAACGTTCTATGCATGTACATTAGTGTTGCTGTACATTATCAAGGTATATTATGGATATTAAATCTATTCATAGTCTATACTTAGACTATTTAGAACTTTTTCAGTTTAGTTTAGTTAAAATAGCTAGGTATGATTAAAGAAAGAGATAAAACTTGTTTTATTCAAAAACACATATTCAAATATTACATATATTTACATGTAATTGTAAACATAAATCTACACAAATTTCTTCTCTTTTCCACCACATTTTTGAAATAAAGCGTAATTTAGAAAGTCAAACAATGTTCAATTAACTGAGGGTTCTTTTGGTCCATTGAATACAATATAAGAAGCTGTAAATAAAAAAATATATTGAAAAAAAAAACAAAAAGGGAAGTTTTGAAAAATAAATAATCAATGGAAAAGTGTTACAACTTACGAAGGTATATCTTTTTCAACGCCATATAGATTAGTGTTCTTAAAACATATTTTTCCACCTTTGCCCAACATATACATCGAGGGCATATAACTTTTCAAAAATACTCTGAATTTTTAAAAAATAATATAACTGTTAGTTATTTATTAATAACTTTTTCAAATATTTAATTTAAACAAAACAAACTTTTTAATATATTAAAAACAAATTAATAATCAAAATATAAAACATTTCTAGCATTGAAAAATAATTTTCTGGGTGGCCACATAAAATTTTCATAAGAAATTTTATGTGGCCATTTATTAATGGTTTAACGTCCATGTTTATACACTTATGGGGCTTGGACAGGGATCAAATAATGTCATTTGTTATGTTAAATAGCATGCATTTTCTAAAGCAATTTTTTACAATTCCATGCACTTTAAGGCGTTAACCAGTTTTGCAGACCAAGAATGGGAATTTTAAACATTATACATCCATCAAAAATTAAAAAAGGAAGAATTAATGAGGAGCTTTGATCAGATTTTTACCTATTTAGAGGATAATAGAGGATTTTAGAAGTGGTTTTAAAAAAAGAGGACTTTAGAGGGTTTTAGAGGAGCTGCAGACACCCTGATTATAAATGAGGTAACTCCACTAATTAACTGTAATTGATTTATCTGTAAAAAAACATGAAGTAAATCTAATATTATGCTTGTGGAGATATATTATATTGTGGAGAACCATCATATAAATTTATTATATTTTAAACTTATTGTTATTAATTTACTTATTACTCTATTATTCAGCAGAGTTCTGAATATATTATGTTCAAATAACTTAAGGCTCAATAACAAAGACAAATAATGAAAGAATACTAGGTTGCTAAAACATAAACATCTACATAAGATAATTATGGAATATTGAAAAAAAATAGAAATACAAAAAAACAAAAATACTCATTATTAATATAAAATATAATAGTATAATATAAGGTATATTATAATATATGACACAATAATATCTACTTTTAATTAAAATATAAAAACGACAAAAATTAAAAAAGAAAATATTTTGATAAATAATAAATTATCATTCAAACAATTTTCAAGACCAAAAAATAACTTGTAACTTATTTTTTTACTTATCTTCATCTAATAAACATTACTTATTTTTTACTCATCTTCATCTAATAAACATTAATATTAATTCCAGTTTTAAACATTATTAGAATTTTTTTTTTATCAAGAAATAAAAATATTACATCAGTTACTTTTTGGGCTTTTCTTATTTTAATTAAAACATCAACTCAATTCTAGGCTTTTTTCATAATTGAGTTTTAATTTGTAAGGTTGAATTAACACTGAAAAAAAAAATATTAGCAAACAAAAAGAAAATATTTCTTTATTGAAATATATGTAAACATTTCAATAAAGAAATATTAGATCGATTTTTATAAATATAAATTTATATCAATCAATCTAAATTTTTTTTTTTTTTTCGCTACCTTTTTGAAATGAAGCGCATTTTTAGAAGTTAGACAAAATGCCATCAATTAAAGTTTCAGTCGCTCCGTCGTATTTAATAGAAGAAGCTGTTAATAAAAAAGAATTAGAAAAAAAAACAAAACACAGGGAGAAATTTTTGAATATATAAAAAATGAGAATAAAAAAGTTTTACACATTTTATAAAGGTATACCTTTCACTACACCATATATATTAGTGCTCTTAAAGCATATTTCCACCTTTCCCCTTCATATTTATGGAGGTCACAAAATTGTTGGAAAATATTCTAAATTTTAATAGATAAGAGAAATGATATTAATTGTGCGAGAACTAATATTAATTTTTTTTTTAGTTTAAATTGAACTCATTATCAAACAATTTTTTTGCTAAATAATTTAATCCTTAAAATTCTTGAATAATTAAAAAATATTTTGATTACCTCAGCATTTTAAAGATATTCCATCAATTGCTTTCAACAATGAAGAAAATATTGCATTCACTAATCCTAAAAATATATTCAACCTGTCAGCAAAATCACCTGTCAATAATCCAAGTATTAGCATCATTAAAAATTCATCTTTGCTGCATTACATTTATTTTGGTCCAAGTAGTTAAGGATTTTTTTAAATTTCAAAAAACAGAAGTAAATGTTTTTTTAATATCACTTTATCTCTTTTGATTAATGGTGATACTGCACTAACTGATGAAACACATTGACAGATGTAAGGCCAGTATAAAAGTTGCAAGATCTATTATTTTTAAAATAAATGTTTGTATACAAGTAAATTGCAATAACACGATTTGTTTGGATTATGTTTATATACAAGTTTGTCTGTTTTCATAGTAATAACTGATGTGGTTGAAGTTAATTTTTCAAATAAATCTTTACTTTTTTATTTCGTGTTGAAGTTCTTTTTTAAAGTTATCAATTTCCTTTCTTAATTCTTGATGCTCTATTAAAAAACAACGCTCAGCATTAAATTCAACATAATTTAATGGATCATTTTTTGAAAAAGCTGTATTATATTTACATTTAATAATATCAGTCTTTGAGCATTGTAGCCCAAGTTAAACGAAAAATATCGATTTTTAAACGATAATGTTCTTTCAGGAAAATCGTCTGAACATGTTTTCGATCTCTTGAAAATTCTATATGATATAAGTTCAGTATTTACATTTTTTTTCCATTATAAATCTCTTTAACTTTAACCGTTGAAATAATGTTTACGGTTTTACTTCCATTTCTGCGCGCGCATAAATTTTATATCGTATTTTTTGTCAACAATGATTGAAATAATGACGTTGAAATAACGTTAAATATTCGACGTTTAAACTGTAACGTTGATTTAACGTTGAAATAACGTTAAATAATCAACGTTTAAACGGTAACGTTGATTTAACGTTGTGACATAGTTGAACAACGTTGAAACAACGCTTCAACCGAATTTCAACGTTAAAACAACGTAATTATGCCGGCTGGGTAAGTATGTTTTAAAAAAGAAAAAAATTCTTCTATAGGATTAAGCTGTGGCGTGTAAGCTAGCAGATACTTAATAGCTATACCATGAGAGGCTGGTGTTTGCCTAAGAGTAAGACTCCAGTGGAATTTACAATTGTCCATAACAAGCACCGGCGCTTCCATATTTGCATTCCTAATTGCTGGTGCCATCATTGTAGTCATGAAAGTACAAAATGAATCTGCATTCTAGCCTCCAGTTTTTGTTTCATAAGCAAGCACTCCCATTGTTGAAACAGCACAAGTTAAACTAACATTTTTGCCACGATTTGCAGGTGACTGTAAAATTGCTGACGCAAGATTTTGATCAAGATTTTGAACTGTGCGCTTCGATAAATTAAGTGAAGTGGAAATGCTTGTTGTAGATTGATTTCTTTCAACTAAATGCTTAAGCATTTCAATGTGCTCTTTTGTAACATTTTTCCTTGTTTTACGATTGGTACAGCTATTTTCTGTTCCATCCATAGGGTAAAAAATTGATATTAATAATTATAAATAATTAAGTATTAAATCCAGAAAAATAAATAGTTAGATAATAAATAACTTAATCAATCAAGAAATAAAATACAATAATACACTTTGATACAATGAATAAAATTAAACTAAGAACTAATACTAAATTAAATAAACCATCATCGAATGTAAAAAGTCTTCGTCTTAAGTATTTTTGAACTCGTTTACCAGAAAATAAAAAAAATTTGCTTTGAAATAATAAACAGTTTTTTCAATGATTTTATTAAATAATATTTTTTGGTTCAAATTGCTTTTTTACAATTGCTTTTGTAAACCACATATAAAAATGAAGAAATGCGCATATAAGAATAAATAAAGGCGCATATAAAAATGAATAGACGCACATATAAGAAAGAATAACCCTGTAACTTGTAATTACCTTTATGATACAATTTTATAGGCTTCTTAAGTTCATTACTCACATTAGATCCTTTTAGTGTATAATGCATTTTAATTAGTGTTGCGAAGGTAAAATTTACCGGAAAATTTACCGGAAAATTTTGAAAATTTACCGCCTAAAATTATTAAAAATAAATTTCTATAAAAATCTGCGCATATTATTTTGTTTTTTCTTTTTCTTATTTGTTATAAAATTTACATGTAATAGAAAGTTATTGAATTTATTATATATATATATATATATATATATATATATATATATATATATATATATATATATATATATATATATATATATATATATATATATATATATATATATATATATATATATATATATATATATATATATATTTATATTTAAAATGTTTATTCTTATCAGTGACTGATATATGAAAACTAAAGGGGAAAAAAGGCACATGCCACACATTTCCACTTTTGAGATGAATGAAATTTTATCTTTGAAAGTCGCTATGTTTCTCCTGTATGCCTTTTCTTTTGGCGTTTCTGTAGCATTACATCTATGTAATGCTATGTAATTTTTTTTTTTTTTTTCTGTTTTATAACATAATAATTTTACAACTTTGTGCTTCATAAAAAAAAAAAAGTAAGTAAAAAATGACAGGGGCTCAAAGAAGAGGAGGATGACAGCACGTCATCGCAATCTTTTCATAGAGCCCCTTTAACAAAATTTCAATAAAATATCGTATTACGTAATAAAATTTCATAAAACATTTCGTAAAATATAAACGTAATAAAATTTCAATTAAATATCGTAATAAATATCGTAATAAAATGCGTAATTCACTAGTAAGATTGTTAAGCAACAACAACAACAAAAGGTAGAGTGGTAACATTAACCAAAAAAGTTTGTCAAATTTTAAAAATTTCTTTTTTTGTTATAACCTTGAATGAACTTAACGAATTTACCGTACCTTTGAATCCTTTTTGAAAGGTATTCCATACTTTAGAACCTCGATATGAAATGCGATATTCTGAATCTACATATTTTTTCATAAGGAACGACTAATTTTAAAATAATATTAAAGCATTTTTTTCAGTGTATGTATTGATGTGAAAGTACGCTCAAAATTGGCTGCTTAAATAAATGCGCTAGTGGTCTAGTGGTAGAGTGCTCGCATCATCAGAAATTAGTTCTGAGTACAATGACGACCATGTTCAATACAGCTTTATTGAGCTTGTGTTTAGTGTTAAAGAGTTTAGAGAGGGTTGTATAAAAACTAAATAAAAAACGAATAAATAAAAATGAGTAGTCTGCTTGAATACAGGGCCAATGACACAAGTTTTGAATCGGTGGGGGGGGGGGGGGAAGGGCAATATCGTTAATTCTTAAAAAAAAGTCTTCTATAACTAGAATTTCCCCCCTGGCTCCCCCTTCCGGTGTTGTCGGCCCTGGAATGTGATAGCACTAACAGCCTTGGAGAGGTAAATATATAAACAACAAAAACACAGGCTGTATACATTATTTACGACCGCAAATTTACTTAGAAAACATTTATGTGGTTGAAGCTTGTTAGCTTTATTGGTTAGGTTGGAAACGGGAAACCAACTTAAAAAATACATATTTCTATGTGGATGAACTCTTTGATAAGATATAATGGTTTTTTAGTTGTTAGTTTTCTCTTTAAAAAAAAAAAAATTTATCTTTGAGAAAAAAATTTTTACGGAAAATTTACCCATTCTTATTTAAAGTTTACCGGTAAATTTACCGGTAAATTTTATCGGTAAATTTTAAATCAAAATTTTCCGGAAAATTTACATAACTAATTTTAATAAATGATGACCTTGTTTTGCAACATCTAAAGTGGATGATTAAACAATAAAACAGAATTTTTCTTTATCATTAGTAATTAAAAAATACAAAATATTTTTTATTTAAAGATTGCTTTTTGGTAAGTTGGATCACTAACGCATTAATATAAGAAGCAATTTTCAAGACAATCTATGAATTTATTAGCTTGAAAATCACTCTCAGTAGGAGAGAAAGGAGAATTAATTTCGATTCAATCAATCGTGTTATAGTTGAAATCACCGGTAATAATTAAATCACAAAATATTTTACAATCAATACTCAATTTAGAAGAAATTATTGACTCCAGAATGGTATTCTTATAACCCTGATTTGCTAATGATGGTCGATATATACATCCAATAAGTACTTTTTGATCACCAAAACATAAAAAAGTCTATACCTGTTCAATATCACTTCAGTGGGCACACGACGTTATTTCGACGTTGATTTACGATTGATTTTTAGTCGCGACGTCGCATAACCAAAATTCAACATTGTATCAGCGTTGAAAATTAATTTAAAAACTATCAATTAATATCGACGTTGATTCCACGTTAATTCAACGTCTATATAACAAGTTCGACCGTTCGTATTGCATTTTGAAATCTCAAATACGCATGAGTGACTTTACTAATTATTCATAAGGCCTTATGAAGCCTTTTTAAAAAGTTAACGTAATATTGTTTAATTTCACAATTTAACAATATCACATGATTTAACTTGGAATGCAGTTAGATAAATATTAAATAGATATATTTTTATGACGTAATATTGGCAACATTTCATGAGTGTAAATTACAAGTAGATTTTGCTTAAATTTTTCTTACAGTTTTTTAAGTAAGTTTATTTTTTAGAAATTTATTAAATGGTTTTTCTATGTATGTTAGTATATTTAACTATACTAATTTTATATTAAATAAACATAAAATATATATTATCAATGTATATATATATATATATATATATATATATATATATATATATATATATATATATATATATATATATATATATATATATATATATATATATATATATATATATATATATATATATATATATATATATATATATATATATATATATATATATATATATATATATATATATATATATATATAGTACAGTAGAGGTTTTTTAAACCATCAAAATATTATTAAAAACAATAAAAGAAAAAAGATTGCTACCCCATGCCAAACCCTCAGTTGATGTAGTAGCACTTCCTTGTAGCAGCAGGCTATAAGATAGTTGATGTATGTTGTGAAATCAATAAATATTCTCTGTTTATATTTAAAAGTCAAAAAAAAATTATTTGAGGATGCTTAACTGCATGTTTGTTGCTTTTCAACAACCATGTGATTCAAAGAATTTGAATATTGTTGATATCAAAAAAAATATATATCTGTCTGACAAATGTATAATAAATAAAGCAGATTTTTCCTGTAAAGTTTTAAAATGGATTTGTGTTTGCACCTTTAGTCTATGATATTGTTTGCTAGAACAATTTTGATTTTTTATATATACATATATATATATATATATATATATATATATATATATATATATATATATATATATATATAATATATATATATATATATATATATATATATAACTTGATATCATGTGTTGGTAAATATACTTTTTTTGATTTAATCCTTTAATTCTTAAATAAAGCTTGTTATGATTTCTAAAAAAAGAGTTAACAAAAAATTATCTTCTTTTTAATGACTGACTAGAGAGGTATTTAAGGATAAGTAACGTTATTCTGGTAGCGCCAAAACCCAGAATATCTAAAATACCCACAACAAAAACAAAATAAGCAAGTATTGGATTTTTGAAAATTTTTGAATTGTAACTTGAATCATATTTTTGATTTGATTCGATTCGAAATTTCGAAACTTCGCAGGCCCATAGGTTAAACATATTAACACTTTAATTTCAATATAAATTTAACTAGGCAGCTATATAATTTATAAGTTAAAGTTGTAATTTTCTCTTAGTTAATTTGCACTAACAAATATTTTATGTATGAGAATAAAAAGTGTTGTTTTTAAAAATAAACTTTTCCAGTTTATAAAGTATAGTAGGGCAAGCAAAAGGTACATTTGAGCTGTTTGGATAGAAAATAGAGAGAAATAGAGAGAGAGAATAGACTTGATAATTTTTTGTGTTAGCCATCATCAATAAATGAAATAAATTGTTTCAATGAAATGCATGAACTGCAGTCTAACTAATACAGATTTAAGCAAATTAAGTGTTGTGGAGATAATATAATTTTGTTTATAAACATCAAGTTATTAAGACATAATTCTTATTATATAATATATTTAAAACATAGTTTTTAATTAAATGATTATTCTTAGATCATGAGTTTTGTGATAATTTTGAATTTGCCACTATATATATATATATATATATATATATATATATATATATATATATATATATATATATATATATATATATATATATATATATATATATATAGTCTTGCATGTCTCTTGCGTAGCATCAAAAAATATTTCCCATAAACTGTAGTTTTAAAGAGCGCGTTAATAAACCAGACCAGAAAAAGTTTTAAATATTAAATTTTTTTTTTCTAATTGATAGACTGCCTGGCCAAACCAAACCCTCAGTCGATGTAGCAGCACTCTCTTGCGAGTCAGGCTATTTGTCAGTCGATGTAGCAGCACTCTCTTGCGAGTCAGGCTATTTGTCAGTCGATGTAGCAGCACTCCGTTGCGAGTCAGGCTATTTGTCAGTCGATGTAGCAGCACTCCGTTGCGAGTCAGGCTATTTGTCAGTCGATGTAGCAGCACTCCGTTGCGAGTCAGGCTATAAGATAGTCGATGTAGCAACATTTACGCATGTTTAAAAAATGTTTTTTATTAAATCAATAACAAAAACACCACTAATTAAAAAAAACTTTCTAATCGTTATAATTGCGGTTTTTTAAAAATTTTTTAAAAAACAATTAAATTTAATGTACTTCCGCATAAATTAATTGCTTTGACATTTCGATGACAATCAAAAACAGCTTAAGAGACGAGGTAATTAAAATTGTAGTCGTAAGAGACTTTTTTTACATTAAAATGCTCTTAAAGCGACACTATATGAGTATATATATATATATATATATATATATATATATATATATATATATATATATATATATATATATATATATATATATACATATATATATATATATATATATATATATATATATATATATATATATTATATATATATATATATATATATATATATATATATATATATATATATATATATCTCCTTTTTATTTTCTCTGTGTTAACATGCCTATGCCAATCAATTTATTTGAATATTCATTTGAACAAATCTTTTACAAAGCATTCATAACAATAATTAAATCAGTGAAATTTTTAAACATAAATCATTTAAGAAGGTCCAAAAGTAGAAGGAAAGCACAAATGAATTAGCTATGCTTGTAGAAAGACTTTTAAATTAGCATAGTTAATAAATACCATTTGTAACTATGTTGTAAATGTAGAAGTTAAAAATTCTGGTTGCTTAAATAACAGTTAATAGAACTTAATAGAAGGACTTGTTTGGACTATAATAATAGGACTTAAATCCGATAAATAGGAGTTATGAAGACTGATAATTTATAAATGCAGCAGAAAGGATTTAAGAACATGCCACCGATAGTGAAAGCAGTAATTATGAAAGTTAAAAAAATATTATGCTAACATTTAGAAAAGACCTAGTCGATCGACTGTTAAATGTTCAGTATTCTAACAAGAGTCAACTTTAATCACTTTTGTGTAAATCTTCCAGCACAAATTATGACGTTTTTGAAAATGCCCTTAAACTCAGATGTTACTATAAAGTTAGGTTTCTAAATCTTCCAAGATATTTTATTTGTTAGACTTGTTTAAAAATTTAATTATGTGGATTGATTACTTTACTTTTGATATTTCTTTGCAGTTATTTTATTTTTACTAAAATGTTATTTTTTATTTCTTTTTAACTGCATTTAGTTGCATCATATTACTTTTTTTATTGGTTTAGTTAGTGAGTATACATATTTTAGGATAAAAGGTAGTAATAAGAAAATTAAAAATAGTATTTTAAGATCGAAGCAATAATATAGACTTTGTGAAGTTAGTCTTTTTTGACCATTGACAGACCGCCAATTCATAAATGCGCAAACATGTTTCTCTGACTAATTATATTGACAAAATTTGTGAAACCGTTTCATTTGTTGAGATGTTGTATTGTGGATTACAGATGTCAGCTAGTTTAGAAAACTTGAAAGACTTCATGGGATAATCTTAGAGGGACAGGCATAAAGTATATATTCAGTAAAACCACTGATTTAGGACCCCTTTTCTATTTTACACACCTGTATGCTTTTTATGCCGCCTTCTCCTCCCACTGCATGCATATTTATTATTATAAAATCAACTCCTTTCCGCAAACCTTTTTCCAACAGATAATTTTTTCAAAGAATTAAAAACAAAAACTTTTTAATTATTTTGACATCACTCATGATAGAATTATTAATTTTGTTACTTGACAGAATAATAATTTTTTAAACTCAAGAAACTCTATGCTTTTATTATTAAAAAAAGAAATCAAGTTTTAAAATAGATAGAGAATGAGAATTAGTCACACCACGTACATACTTGGTGTCTTTAACCTCTCTCTCTCTCTCTCTCTCTCTCTCTCTCTTGTACGCATTCATATGTTTTTGGGTAAATTCCTCCCCCCATACCTGCATCTATACTATATGGAAGACCCCTCATAGCAAATGACATTATTTATAACAATGAAAAAGTCGTAAAACTAAAAGGTAAAATAATTTCATTTTATGATGCACCAGCTAAAGCTTTTATTTAATTTTTATAATGGTCATTATCGATGTGGTTGTAAGGTGGAATAAACCTGTGACGGTTTAATGAATTTTTAGGCCCACTGGTACTCACTGCTACAACATTTAGACAAAAAAAATCAGAAAAATCATCACAAGGATATCAGTGTTTTGAGAGTCACTTAAGTAGATATGGTGCAGCAGTTCCCTCGTAACAAAATTCAAGGTGGGGACCTTGCTTGTACTAAAAATATACATTTTATATGGGAAAAAAGCTGCTTCTTTGATTGTCATCTGAGCAAATTAATTACCTGTTTATTTATGTTCCTTGAACGAATACATTTATATAGAATTTAATTGTAAACCATGTTGTAAAACCAAGTCTAAAATATATTTTTTTCTTTTATATTGTTAACTTTTCTTTTATATTGTGGGCAAGTGATTTTAAATCATATACTCAGTAAAGAACAATACATCCATTTCTTAATTGGTAATTTAAGTGTAGCTTAAACTCAACATAAACTGTACAGAAAAGATTAATTAACTAAATAAGGTCATGTTTATGAACTTCTTTATTGCTTTGAGAACAATGCCAGAGTGTTCTACTCTGATCATCTATTAATTAATTTATAACTTTCATTGTTTAAATCATTTAGCTTATTATATCAGCTATATATAGAATAATACAATATCCTTGTCCAGTTGTAGCTCAGAATACTGGGTGACTTAAAGAAATTATCAAGAAATTGTCAAGCATTTTGTAAAAAAAATTTAATGCAAAGAATGATGACAGCTATTGCCTCGAGACTGGATGATTTCATTTAAGTTTTATTAAATGTTTTTGTTTGTATTTATGTGTTGCTTAAGTGTTTAAGTGTTGATTTTGTTTAATTTTTAAGTTAAGTGTTAAATACATCTTCTTATGAAATAGTATCTAGTGCCATAATAATTTATATATATATATATATATATATATATATATATATATATATATATATATATATATATATATATATATATATATATATATATATATATATAATATATATATATATATATATATATATATATATATATATATATATATATATATATATATATATATATATATATATATATATATATATATATATATATATATATATATATATATATATATATATATATATATATATATATATATATATATATATATATATATATATATATGTATATGTATGTATGTATATATATATATATATAGTGTTTTTTTTCTCCTAGAACGCACCGGAACGGCGCACAGTGGAAAATAATGGTCTGTTTTAGATCAAAAATCAATAACTTTTTTGTTACTAAAGATAAAGTGTTGAAATTTTGCACAAATGTATAATAGTATATGGGGCTTCTAAGGAAATATTTTTTATAAAAAAAAGTTTAATAAAAAACTCGCAAATAAAAATCAAAAACTTCACTTTTTTTTTTTTTTTTTACAAAAATCAATAACTTTTTTGTTACTAATGATAACCCAGCAAACAAAAAGATATCTAAAATGTATCTAAGATGCATCTAAATACTGATCTAAAAGATGTCTAAATTCAGGTCTAGGACGGGACATAAATAGACGTCTATCTTATAGACGTCTTTTAGATGCATTTTATTCGACACAAATAGTTGCCTTAGATGCATAAAAGATGTGAAATATACATTTTACAGATGCATATTAGATGTATAAAATACGTCTCTTAAATAGATGTCTAAGGCGCGTTTAAAAAAGATAGATAATAGATAACTTTTTAGTTAATAATAGCTCTTTTATGCATCTAATATACATCTAATATACATCTTTAAATGTATATTTTACATCTTTTATGCATCTAAGGCATTTATTTGTGTCGAATAAAATGCATCTAAAAGACATCTATAAGATAGACATCTATTTATGTCCCGTTCACGACGTGAATTTAGACGTCTTTTAGACCAGTTTTTAGATGCATATTAGATGCATTTTAGATATCTCGTGTGTAGTGGGTATTTTTTTGTTTCTTTATTTTTGAAATTGAGAAAAACAAAATGTGCAGAAAGCCATTGTGTAATACTTTTATGATGATATCTGATATTTATAACTTTAATATGTTAAAGAAACATGGTACAGTTTATTAAAACATATTTCTTAAAAATTATTGTTGCTTTTTTCACCCAAGTCCAATAAGGAACCTGCATTGAAGGTTTTAAAGTTGTCTGTATAACATTAAAAAATTGTTATGTACATTTTTTTTATAACTTTATTGATGTATATTTTGATACTTTTTTCTTTTTATTTGATATATATTATGATGTTTTTTTCCTTTTTTTTTTCTTTGCATTATTTTAAAGTTTGTTCATTTTTTTGTGATTTAGATTTTAAATAATTACAACTCATTATTCTAAAAAATATTGTATTTTATTCTTTTTTTCAAAATGTTTTTTTTTAATTTGATGATTCTTAATAAACACTGCAATAGACATTTTTTGCATTAATACAGTACTTTTAAAATTTAGTAAACTAACTTAAAATAATGGATTAGTTCGCGACGGGAAGGCGTGTAATAAGTATCGCCATGTTACAATTACAATTAAACTTTAAATACAATTAAAATTAAACTTTAATTACAATTACAATTAAACTTTAATTACAATTAAAATTAAGGTCATAAAAGCTAAGCAACAAGAGATTATTGAATCAAATTTGAAATTCGTCGATGAATATAAAATATGTTTAAGATTGAAAGCAAATAACAACTTTGACTCATTTCCCTTATATTTGGGGTTGGGGAGCTGACTTTTTAGGGTATTTGTTGTTCCCAGACTCCAATCACCGCCATTTTTTGCATAGCATCTTCTTTCCTCATCTGATAATATGAATACGCTAATTTAATAGTATTATTATTATTCGAGTTACGTCATTTTCTAGGCTTTTCTATTTTAAAGTAGTTTCTAGGCTTTTCTATACGCGGTTTTTTTTTTAAATTTTATTTACTAACAACGCGTAATACGGATTGTTTACTGCTAGTAAATATGAACATACTTAAATATAGAGTTTTCTTTATTTTTCAAAGCTGTTTAGTTCAAAATCTAAAAAATTTGTCTACAGTACGGCTGTACGGCTTTTAATCTTGCAAACTTTGTATTCTCGCCACAGAACAAAAGTTTTTTTTTCTCTCATACAAAATGGTAGCTGTTGCGGCAAAGATGATGACGTTTTTCCTACTGCAAGGTAAAATATTAAAAAAATGAAGGCAATCGTAGAAATTCGTTTTTATATATCTGGAAAAATTGCTTAAAGCAGTCGAAACCTGTATGTATAATTTGATGCATATGTAAAGTTAAACTTTTAAAGATAGTAATTATTAAATAATAACATAATAATAAGTAAACATTATATTAGTTAATTATCAACTATTTTAATTTTTATTGAATTTTTTTGTTTTATTTTGGAATGTACATACTTTTATGGTTTATTAATAATATGTTTATCTTTTAACAATACAAATAAATATGTTCACTTTAAAATAAAACTTAAAATCTTACAAGAAAAAAAACCAGGAATTAGCGAACCTGCAACTGCGTCTTCGTAAATTATAGAAATATCTACAGTGTTACTCTTGCAATGGTGGGAGTAGACATAAGTAAGAAAAATAGTAAAAGAAAGTAGAATCGTATATATTCAGTATACTATTATGTGATATTTAAGGTGCTCCAAAAATTTCTTGCGGTCTTACCGAAAAACACCGCGAAAGAGCATTTAACTAAAAAATTCGAGTCTTGTTTCCTAACAATGTCTTTTATCTTGCAAGAGTTGGCATTGAACCACGGACCACTTGGCTCCAAGCAAGAACTCTAATCACTGCGTCACGGCTGTCGAAAAGTTTAAGACAACTTCAAACTCAATCTTCACATTTAAAACATTAATATAAAAATAAATAGAACCCGAAAAAGATTTCAATGATAAAACTATCACCATAACCTTTTCAAAGAGTCCCTCCAGACACCTTTCTTAAAAATTTCATCAAATGTAAAAACATCTAATAAAAATTTATAAAAATGTTTTTCCATAATAAAAAAAAAAAAATTTAATTATTTTTGCACAAAATAAGAAAAAAAGAAAAAGAAAAATTCAAACAAACAAAACCTTTCTGATAAAAATTCTAATCAAAAGTTAAAAAAACCTACTAAAAGAATAAATTTAAAAAAAAGGGGGGTTTAAAAAATCTTTTTTAAATGAGATAAAATAAACAAGTTATATCATAAACAACATCACTTTTGAATTATTATATATTATGCATGTCAGTAATTGAGGAGATGCAATTTTGTTTGTCTTCTATAGCCTATTTTTAATTCATGCCAGCAATAACTAATTCAAATTGCTAATTTTTACCAAAAATTACCTTTTGTGTGAGTGTGTCTGTGAATGTATTTGCCATTTAAAAGATAATTTACAATCGCAATTTATAAAAGGTTTTCATGACTGGAGCTATAAAAAGACAAACTTAGTCACCAAGCACCAAAAAATGCATCTTCAAACATATTCTTGTACAAAAACTTAAAACTATGGAATCAGCGAAAATTTCTAAAATTTGCTAAAAAGCTATCAAAGCAATCGTAAGCAGTTTGTGCAAATTGACGTATCCTTCTCAAAAAGTTTACTAGATATAACATGTGGTGCTCCCATAGGGTCTAAACTATCCCAGACAGCAAGCTTACATTGGACCAACGTTGGGCCAATGCATGATGATGCATTGGCCCAACGTTAAAAGTCGATGTTGGTCCACTGCAGGTTTGATCATTGGTTAGGTATTGGCCCAATGTTGTGTACAACATTGGGCCAATGTTGTATACAACGTTTACCCAACATTGGCCCAACGTTGTATATAACGTTAGGCCAACGTTGTATACAACATTGGCCCAAAGTTATATACAAAATTGGCCTAACGTTGTATACAACATTGGCCCAATATCGTATGTTATATATCGGCCTAACGTTTTATGGAACATTAGATCGTTGCTACAAATAAGATGATTTGCATCGCTACATTGAAAAATTATAGAGAAAAAAAAGAATGTATGATACAAGTATAAAAATTTATTTATTTAACATAATTTATCAGTTAAATATACATATTGCAAACTTAAACCAAAAACTGACACATTGAGTTTTAAATAAAAAAATTCACTATAAAATGTATAGAGTAGTTTCGATATTAGCTGAGCTACTTGTTATTGAATATCGTTTAGCTTATGATATTTGGTGCCCGTGATTACTATTTTTTCTTCCTCTATCTCTATCACATGTCTGCATAAGCCATGCTTATTTGACTTCACAGTTTCTGCAAAAAAAAATAGTTGTTTGTTTAATTATGCACCAAAGAAACATAACAAGTTGAAAGTAATTCTGTAATACAAAATTGAAACTGAAAAATAAACTTTTTTAAACCACTTACCAATAGCAGCATATGCAATCAACATTTTTCCTATTCCAATTTTTTATCCTCTCCCTGCATAATTTAATTTTACAGCTAGGCCATTTTAATAAACTATTCTTAGTAAATAACATATACAATCTCCTTCGTCTTTAACTCCAATTTGTGCCAAATAATTAACTTGCAAAAGTACACAGCCTGGCAATAATTAAAGTAACTTTTGTTTAGACTTAAATTAATATAAAATGTCATTTACAAAAAAACTTCAAAGAGTATTTTATTTAAAGTATATAAATTGTACTAAGATATCATACAAAATGCATAAAAAAATTATAAAAAAATATTTACCATTTAATTACGTATTTTCTTTTCTTCCAGAGTACTTGAATTCCTTACAGCAATGACACTATTTCAGGCAATACAATAATTAGCATACCTTTGTTACTCAAATTTTTATAACTGAATTTGATGTGTTTTGTAGTTTACCAAGTTGTACTTCAATGACGACTAAGAATGAACATTAAGAAAAGCATAAGTTTCAGAAAAAATAAATGGGTAGCACCAAAAAAACATAATAGCCTAATTGAGCATTGTATTTTGAAAACGTGACAAGTCACAAAATTAAAATTTTACAAGGGAGTGAAAAATATTTCTCCTGTAAAAAATTTTATTTTTATTTTATCTAAAAATTGTTTCTTTTCTCTAAAAAAATCTTTATTTTATCTAAAACAATCTTTATTTTATCTAAAAAAATCTTTATTTTATCTTAATATTCTTTTATTTTAAGTGAGGTTATTTGAAAAGAATATTTTTTTGAAAATATTCTTTTCAAATAACCTCACTTTTAAAAAAAGTGTGACTCATCACGTTTTCAAAATACAGCGTTCATTTGTGAAACAAGTAACTTCTTAACTAGAATTACTGATTTTCCCATGACTATCTAAAGAAAAAAATAATTTCCTGACCTTTCCAGGTTTTCCCGACTTTGGCCAATATTAACAAATTTTCCA